CTCTGCAGAGCCCCGCAGCGTTTGCTCTGCTGAGCTCCGGAGCCTGCAGCCTGCGGGAGCCGGGAGGAGGATTCGGAGAGGTCCCGGGTGAGCCCCGCATCCCGGTGACAGGGCATGGCGTGGGGCTGAGCCACCGTCCCTCTGGCATGGCGCGGCAGGGCTCGGGGGCCATGCTAGCCTCTGGCGGCCTGGGCTTTCCCCCCCAAAACCTAGCCCGGGTGGTGGTGTGGGAGTGGCTGAACGAGCACGGGCGCTGGCGGCCCTACTCAGCCACTGTCTGCCACCACATCGAGAACGTGCTGAAGGAGGATGCCCGCGGTAGCGTGGTGCTGGGCCAGGTCGACGTCCAGCTGGCACCCTACATCATCGACCTCCAGTCCATGCACCAGTTCCGGCAGGACACGGGTAAGGGGCTGATGCTGAGCTAGGAACATCCATCTCTTCATCCATCCCTCCATCCATCCATCCCTCCCTCTGTCCTTCCATTCCTCTGTCCATCTACCCATCCATCCATCCATCCATCCATCCATCCATCCTCCCACCCCAGTATGTATCTGTTTATCTGCCTGTTGTTCCCTCCATCCGTTCCATCCTTCTATGCTTCCTTTCATCCTTCCATCCTTCTCTCCATCCCTCCATCCCTCCATCCTTCCCTCCATCCCTCCATCCCTCCATCCATCCATCCTTTCTTTTTTCCTTCCATCCACCCACCCCAGTGTGTATCTGTCTGCCTGTTGTTCCATTCATCCGTCTGTCCAGTTGTCCATTTATCCATGCATTTATCTCACTGCACTGTCAATCCATCCATCCCTCCATCCGTCCATCCATCCATTCATCCATCCATCCACTTCATCCCTGCATCCATCAATCCTTCCATCCCAACATGTGTTTATCTGTCACTACATCCATCCATCCACCCATCTGCCCGTCCATCTGTCTCTCCATCCCATTGCACCCACCTTGCTCTCCATTTGCCTGTCCGTCCCATTCCTCCTCTTGCCTGCTGGGCTCTGCTCCCCCGCATTCCCCACCTACCATGGATCTTTGCCCTGGAGGGATGTGTCCCAAAGTCCCTCCGTCCCCTCTTACCCCTCGTTGGGTGCTGCAGTGGGTGGTGTGTCCCACTGCCACACTGGCCACTCATCCGCTTCCCCAAAGCTGCTCCAACCTGGGTCTTTAAGGAACTGAGGAGGCCGCAGTTTAGGCACTGGGAGCTGTGGTAGGCAGGGGGCTGCCTGCAGTGGCGGCCGCAGCTGGTGCCGTGCTGCAGCGTGCATCCAGGCCACGCATCCTCAGGGGAAATCAAAGCCAGTCCCGCGCCGGCACCAAGCCCAGACCCTATTAAATGTGTCCCCATCGCAGCGTGACCCACTAAACTAACGTGTCGGTGGTGCCGTGAGGGACTCACCAGTTTGGGCACTTTCCTGGCTATCCCTGCACCCCTGCCTGCAATGTCACACCCCAGGTGACACCCTCAGACTTGGCTGGGGACACACAGGGGAGCAGAACCCCAATGGCCACGTTCCCTCTGCCCAGCCACTGATGCCACCATCCCGGTCACCAGCGATAGCAAATGATGCTGGGTGTGGATGTGGCTCCACGAAGGGCTGGGGGCTGCGATGGGGGCC